TCTCAAAATAAATAATAAACTTTAAAAAAGGAAATCAATGCTTATGCTGTGATGTAAGGAATAAGTACAGTTAACTACTTGAAAGAAGAGTATTATATTCCAGATAAAGAAGTCATTAAGTGCAAAGGTCCCTTGCTTTAAAATGGTTCATCCTGGAAGGTGGAGGATTAGTGCAGAATCAGAGATTTGCACACTTTTTACATTCCATCTGGATGTCTCCTTTCCTAACTGGTCAACAAGTCCACATTTCAAGTTGAAGATCATGTTTCTGTCTTTATGCATAAGATACTTTTCATTTATTCATGCATGCATGCAAGTACCCATCTATCCAATCAGACCTCCACCCTAGTATCTATTTATTTATCTGTTCATTCATTACCTATTCATATATCCATTTAGTCATCCATCAAACCAATTATCAATCCACATGTCTGTCTACCCATCCACCACACAAACACCCATCAACCCATGTATCTATACATCTACACACATTTTATCTCTCCATGTGTTTATATACCCATTTATCTATCACCCACCTGCCTATTCATCCAGTCATTTACCCACATATCCATTTATTCATTTATCCATTCATGTATCCATTTACTCATCTATCCGTCTGCAACATAATAAGAAATATGTTTGGTCTCTACCCCCAGTTCCTGACACAGAGCTCTGAAAACCTTTGTAATTTCTTGAGTGATGGGAGTGATAGAATTGTCTTACACAGAGCTCCTAAATCCCTTGGAATTTCCTGGGTGGTAGGAGCACCATTTGTTTTAATGACGTGACTCTTGGTGGGCTCCTGATAGTTTCAGGATGGGTATTGGTCACTAGATAGATCAAGCCATAATTAGAAGATTGAAACTTTTGGCCTCACCTCCCCTCATTCTTTGGGGAGAGGATAGGGGCTGGAGATTGAGTTAATAATTAGTCAAGCCTATGTAATAAAACTTCCATAAAAATCCCTAAGCCATGAGGTTTGAGAGGCTCTGGGTTGGTGAATCCATCCATATACCAGGAGGGTGGATACCCTGAACTACCACAGGGACAGAAGCTCCTGCACTTGAAACCCTTCCAGAACTTGCCCTCTGTTCCTTTCCATCTGGCTGTTCATTTGTATCCTTATAATAAACTGGTAAATGTAGGTAAAGCATTTCCTTGAGTTCCATAAGTCATTATAGCAAATTCTCCAACCAGAGGAGAAGGTCATGGGAAGTCCCAATTTGTAGCCAAGTTGGACAGAAGTGTGGGTAACTTGGAAGCCCACTACTTGTGATTGGCATCTGAAGTGGGGGCAGTCTTGGAGGGATGAGTCCCTAACATGTGGGATCTGGGCTAACTTCAGGTAGTGTCAGAATTGTTTATTTGAGGAAAACTGCATACATCTGGTGTCGGAAGTGTTATGAGTGGAGAAACAAGTCCTCTTTTACCTTCCAACCAACCAACCAACCAACCAACCAACCATTTATTCATGTATCCATTCACCCATTCTTCCACTTACCCATCCATCCATCCATCCATCCATCCATCCATCCATCCGTCCATGTATTCTTCCATTTATCATCCATTCAATCATCCAAGTATTCATCCATCTCCCATCCATTTATTTACTCACTAATGTATTCACCCATTTCCATTGCTGCTGGGACAAACTTAGTGGCTTAAAACAACACAGATTTATGATCTTATACAGATGGTCCCCCACTTAGGATGGTTCAACTTGAGATTTTTCGACTTCACAACGGTGCAAAATCCATATGCATTCGGTAGAAACCATACTTTGAATTTTGAACTGTGATCTTTTCCTGGCTAGCCATATGTGATACTCTCCTCTCTCATGATTCTGGGCAGTGGCAGTGAGCACAGCTCCAGTGAGCCACATGGTTATGAGGGTAAACAACCCATACAACCATTCTGTACCCATACAACCATTCTGTTTTTCACTTTCAGTATTCAATACACTGTATGAGTTATTCAACACTTTATTATAAAATAGACTTTGTGTCAGATGTTTTTGCCCAACAGTAGGCTAATGTAAGTGTTCTGAACATGTTTAAGGTAGGCTAGGTTAAGCTATGTTGTTCGGTAGGTTAGGTGTCTTAAATGCACTTTTGACCTATGGTATTTTCAACTTAATGATGGGTTTATCAGGATGTAACCCCATTCTAAGTTGAGGAAGAACTGTAGTTCTGGAATCCAGAAGTCCAAAATGAGTCTTAAGCGGTTAAAATGAAAATGTTGGCAGAGTTGTAGTCCTTTTGGGAAGGATCAGTTTCCTTGCCTTTTCCAGCTTCTAGAGCCTATCTGCATTCCTGATCTATTTTCTCCTTCCTCCAAGTTTAAAACCAGCATCTACATGAATCTTTAAATTTTCAAATCTTCAAAGTTTAAAACCAGCATCTATGCACGTCTTCAAATTTCCCTCTGAATATGTTCCTTCTGCTTTGCTCTTATTAAAATATTTTTTACTACATTGGGCCCATCCAGATAATCCAGGATAATCTTCCCACTTCAAGGTCAGTTGATTAGTCAACTTAATTTCCGTTTGCCACATAATCTAACATATTCACAAATTTTAGGGATTAAGGCATAGACATTTTGGGGACCATTATTCTTCTTTCCATACCATCCATCCATCCATGCATTCATCCATCCAATTCATTCATTAGTTCATCTTTATGTTCATATGCCAATTCATAAATTTGGTCATCCATTGACTCATCTATTTATGTATCTATGTATCCATGTATCTATTTATCTATCTATCACCTATCAACCTCTCCATCCATCCATCCATCCATCCATCCATCCATCCAATTGTCCATTTATTTATTCATTCATCCAACTAATCATTCACTTTCCCACCACTCATTAATCTGTCATATCAAACATACATCATAATTTCATTATTTCCATTTATCCATTCAACATCCATTCGCCTACCAGCCATTCATACATCAGTTTATCTACCTATCCAACCATCCATCTCATCATTCATGAACTACCCTTATCTACCTTGCCTCTGACCTTTTAATTAACTAAACAGTACCCTTTCAAGACCACACACACACACACACACACACACACACACACACACACATATACACACACCACACTTTAAACCTAATTACCAAAACAGATCATCCTATCTGATAATTTGTTCTCAACCACCTCTTTTTCTGATCCTAACTCCAAATGAGTTGGAGCTCCTGGATCCTAAACCTCTCTCTCAGTTTTGCCTGTAGTCATTTGTACTGGCTGCATGCCAGTGAGTCTTCTTGTAATCTTAGTTACTTTATGGAGCCCTGCCTGTGTTGACTCTGTGTTGACCCTGATCTGGCCTTCTCCTGGTTATGCCCAGAAGGAGTGAGGAGAATAAGCAAACCTGCAGTATGTGTGTGTGCATGGGGAAGGTTCTGGATTAGAGCTGTGTGTCTCAGTGTTTTCTCTGCTCTACTATCCCTGCTCCCAATAAAGAGGTTTGGATGAAACCTATACTCTTCACAATCTAGGTTGATTTTCTCCCCCACAGGGAAATAAGACAACTAGTACTAAAAATATTTGTGGTGTAATGGTCAAAAAAGCATTTTGAAAATATGAAAAAAGTCATTTAAAAATCTCATTTTTAAAAATCATTTTAAAAGTCATTTAAAAATTGCCATTAGGTAAGGAAAAACTAAATAAATACGGCAAACTTTATTTTTAACACGTTTTGTTTCCCCCTCAGACTTTCCCCCCACAGATACTACTAATAAGGTAAGAAAGCATGTATTACTGGACCAAAGTTGTAATAGTGATGATAATTACAAGATCACTATTCACTCACAAACACCACCACAATGTTTAGTTGTCAGACCGGTAATGGTCTCTCATCACAGGCAAAGACATAGATAAGGTAGACTGCGGGCTGTGTGACATTCCCAGCACTCAGCTGAAACACCACCCCATGCTCTGTTGCTCAGGAGAGCACATCGGAATACAAATGAATGGGAGTGACACTATTATAAGAGTACCTGCTCCCATTTATTTATTTTCTAAAAGGTATCTCGTTGGACTATGGTACTTTATGTAGCATCAGTGACAAGATACTTGCCATGTCCATCATGATTGACCATGTCAAGACACGACCACTGAGAACCATGACTAAATGATGGATTCCTATATGTTTAAGGCTGAAAATCCACGATGGGCACAACTGGAATTACATTGTTTGATCAAGTCTTGGTAGACTGGCTCCTGTCCTGCAGATACCATGAATTCGTTGAGTGAGCAGACATGTTGGTACATCTTCATGGCGCTCAAACCTGGCCCTTTGAGGGCACGGTCTACACTTTTTCAAAAACTGTAAGGAAGACTTGATGGAAATTGTGCTCGCAAAGTCTTGGCCAGAAGAATATTTCAGAAATGAATGAAGAGGGGAATTCTCTGGCAATTCTCTACAACCGATTGACAGTCTGGTGTGGCAAGATATCACTTCTTAGCAGTTGGATGATTCTAGGGCCCTGAATCACAAGATTTTGAATGCACTGACATTCCAACACTAAGAGGTCACTGGTTTATGAATATGGGCTCTGGCTATCACCAAGACAGGTGCAAATTGTACATTAAGGGTTTATACTTTAAAGTCTCTTGTATGAAACACTACTTGAAATCCCTCAACAATAATTCTTAGGTTTATGCCAAAGCTCTTTCACATGCTACACCCCATTTGATCCTTACAACAACTCTGAGAAATTGCATAGACAGGGCATATCCCCATTGCATAGATGAAATGACTACATCTAGAAAGTTGATGTCCAGAGATGACAAAACAATTTTCATGCTGTGAAATTTCCTAGCTGGCGGTGTTCAGGATAGGTGGGGACGATATAAGGATGCCTACCATGCTTCTCCTCAGCAAAAACATGGAAACTAATTAGTTAAAAAAAAAAAAAAAACTGTAGTGCTTTCTTCCCAGAGTGTAAAACAGTGATGCTTCTTTTATTGTTAATTTGCGGGTGGTAGTCTCTCTGAGTCGGTCAGTTATGCTGATGGCAGAATTGAGTTCATGAGGAAAAGAATTCCACTGCAACTTGAAGCTTGGTGAAAAGCCTCGGCTTAAGCAGGTTTTTACGGCTAAAATTATCTGTCGCTGCAGGAAAGTACACTGCTGAGTGAGAATGAAGGATTTATGGAATTGTTTCGGGGTAGGGTGGCCAATGTTTTAAAAAATTCCTGCCCAAGAACATTTGAGGTGTGACTTTTCATAAATCATAGTTACTAAGAGTGAGCCCAGTCATTTATATGTATAAACTCAGATTAAAAAAATAGTAGTGGGGCGCCTGGGTGACTCAGTCAGTTGAGCGTCCGACTTCGGCTCAGGTCATGATCTTGTGGTCTGTGGGTTGAAGCCCCGTGTCGGGCTCTGTGCTGACAGCTCAGAGCATGGAGCCTGCTTTGGATTCTGTGTCTCCCTCTCTCTCTGCCCCTCCCCTGCTCATGCTCTGTCTCTCTCTCCGTCAAAAATAAACATTAACAAAAAAATAGTAGTAGTGTTATATATGAATGAAAGAGCTCCGCAGCACTTTAAGAGTTAAACCAGGTTAAATCATAAGAGATGGAAGCCATCTATTACCAGAAGCAATTTTAAAAGACAAAATGTCCCCCAGGTCAAAGGCAAGAAGAATAGAGATTGACTTCAGTCGAATCAGTGGAATTAGTGTGTTTCAAAAAGAGCAAGTCAACAGAAGGGGGAAGGTCTACACAGTACAGGGGATGAGAGCCAGAGGAAAGGATATAATAATAATGTAGTAATTAACAGTTTGTTGAGCAGTTACCATGTGGTAAGTAGTTTGAATGAATCATTTAATCCCTACAACAGCCCTGTTATCGAAATCAAAAAACTTCACTAGTGGTTAAATCTGGGATTTGAACCAGATCTGTTGGCCTCCAAAGCCTGTGGGCTTAACTATTCTTATCCAGTTTTGTCCTGGGTAAGGGTGCTTTTGGCAAGCCAGGACACTGCCATTGGCTACACACATTCTTTCATTTCCTCTTTGGGAGTTACCTCCACACACCATGGGTCACTGTTTGGAATCTCCTCACTGGCAAATCAAAGACATAATTTGAGCTATAAGGGAGAATAGAGTTGACATTGTCCACTCTCCTCCTCTTACAGATGGTGTCCATAACTTTATTTTTGTAGACTGCCATGAACCCTTCTCCCCCAGCTCTGGGGAATGAGGTCCATGATCTAGCAGGGGAATTTCATTTTTATCTGTGAGATGTGATTCTAAAGGAATGCAGTTGATTTTCTTGTGTGGCTTGTTATGTTATTCATGGTTTAATCAGAAAATTAAAAACTCTGAGAGGTTAAAACATAAGGACTTTATCTGAGGACAAACAGGCCCAGGACCAGCACACCTGTAAACTGGCTCAGAATTGTTTGCAAGGGCAGCATTATTAGAAATAAGCACATGGCCTCCAAGGATATTACTTTGAAGGGCAAAATTCATGGAGGTGATAAGTCTTGGCATACTTCCACTTTTCTGACCTTGACCACTTTCCTGGCAGATCCTTCCAGCATAGATTCTCAATGGCACCATGTGCCCCTCCTTTATGGGACTCACCCCTGGTGTAATGTTACATTCGTTTGCACGATTATTTGACTAATGCCTGTCTCCTCCATAGACTGCACGAGCTCCACAAGAACTGAGTTTGTGCCGAATTTTATTCATCACTGTATCCCTGGCACCTGGAACAATGCTGTGAAAGTCAGTCATAGGCATTCAGTCATAGGCATTTTCAGTGAATGCGTTCAATTTTCAACATCAGTCTCCTTAAGTATCTACCCAAGAGAAATGAAAACATATGTCCACACAAACAATGGTATGTGAATGTTCCTAGCAGTGACATTTGTAATGGTTGCAAAGTGGCAATTATCCAAATGTCCATCAGCTGGCGAGCGGATAAACAAAAGGTGGCACATCCATACAGTGGAATACCATTCAGCAATAAAAAAGAAAAACATGTACTACAACATGGATAAACCCCAAAGATATTATGTTAAATGAAATAAGCCGGACACAAAAGACTACACAGTGTACTATTCCATATGTATGAAATTTCTAGAAAAGGAAACACTGCAAAGAAGAAAGCAGACCCATGGCTGCCTTGGCCTGGGGGTAGGAGTGGGGACTGCCTCCAGGTGGGAAGAAGGGAACTTTTAGAGGTGATGGAAATGTTCTAAAATTGGATTCTGGTGATGGTTGCACAACTGTATAAATTTACAAAAAATTATCAAACTATACATTTGCAGTGGTGAAGTGTATGGCATGTGAATTATGTCTCAATAAAGCTGTTAAAAGTGTTTACAAAAATCAATGTCCTGATTCATTTTATCCCAACTTATGTGCTATGGAATGTTGTTTCTGTGGGACATTGTGCCAGGGACTGCTAGTTGAGAATCTCAACTCTTTGGTGAGAGAACCTCAATTTTTTAAAAATTTGCTTTAACATTTATTTATTTTTGAGACACAGAGACAGAGCGTGAGCAGGGGAGGGGCAGAGAGAGAGGGAGACACAGAGGTGTCAGCACAGAGCCTGACACGGGGCTCGAACTCACGGACCATGAGATCATGACCTGAGCCGAAGTTACTCAGCCAACTGAGCCACCCTGGTGCCTGAGAGAACCTCAATTTTTAATGTGGCACATTTTTAAAAAATAAAATAGGGTAAATAAATAAAATACCATATATATTTTTTTGCAGCCCTATGTGACCATGTGACCAAGTTGTGGCCAATGAGATGTAAGCAGGAGTGTTGTGTAATTACCAGGAAGCCTGTTTAAGGGACATGACTGAGCTCCACTTTTCCCCTCTTGCCTTTCCTTTTTTCCTTCCGAGGAAATGTGGACTGGTGCTCCAGCAGACATCTTGGATCTTGGGAATGAAACTAAAGATGGTGGTGCAAAAATATTAAAGCTTCCCGTATTTCGGGCACCTGGGCGCCTTAGTTGGCAGGTGAGCATCTGGCTTCAGCTCAGGTCATGATCTCGTGGTTTGCATGATCTCCCCCACATCAGGCTTGCTGCTGTCAGCATGGAGCCCACTTTGGATCCTCTGTCCCATCTTTCTGCCTGTCCCCTGCTTGTGCTCTCTAAAAAATAAATAAACATTAAAAAAAAGTAAAGCTTCCCATATTTCTTTTATGCAGGGCAAAAACTTTAATTTTATTATGCTTTTTTTTCCTGGTATATGTAGCTAAATCTAATCCTAATACCAGTTTTAATAGGCATTAAATGAAAAGAGTGTTCTGTGTCAGATAATTTTGAAAATTATTAAAGTTTAACAGATTTCATTAATGCAAGACCTCTCAGAGTTTTTAATATGCTAATGAGTAACGGCAACCTCCAAGATGGGCTAGAGTATGCACAATTTCCCAAACCAACTTGACCCCAAAACCTCTTTTTATTGGATTATCTCATGGGATGAATGATCTAGGGGCAATGGGAAATGTTGCTTTAAAACATTTACATTTTTGCTCTTCCTTTCTAATTCATCCCCTTTCTAGGCTGAAAGATCTTTCTTAAACATAAATTTGATTATATCACATACCTGTTTAAAATCGTTGAATAATTCCTGTAGGATAAAGTTCAAACTCCTTTATGTAATGAATAAGACCGTTTGTGATCTGGCCCTTGCCTTCTCTCTAGGCTCACCCTAGCAATCTCCTTCTCAGATCATGAACCATTTGCACTGTTGAGAACTGTGCATGTTCTCCCCGGTCTCTTTGATTCTGTAGTGAGTAGAACACTTTCTACCTGCCACCTTGACTGGCATTCTACCTCTGATCCTTTAAGATCAGGATGACATATTCACTCATTCACACCCATTCATGCTTTGAGCAATTCCTACTATGTATCAGGCAACACACTAGTACTTGGGTTACAAAAACAAATAAACATAATCCCTACCCTGGAGGGACATCAAATCAAATGAAGTTAGACAAGTGCTGTATTAGTCAGAGTGTGCTAATGGCCGTAACAAACAATTCTCTCATTTCAGTGACTTGACATTAAGAAAGTTTTATTTCTCACTCCTGGCACGGTCCAGTGCAAGTAAGCACAGGGGTTCTGCTCCATGAAGTCTGTTAGGGACCCAGGGTCATTCCATTGCCATTTTGGGGAGCCCCTAAGTCCTCCACTGGATATTTCTGTATCTGGCCAGCAGATGAGGAAAGGAATTTGGAGGCTCACACAGGAGGTTTGGGGGGATGCCTAGGAGTGAGATATATCTGTCACTTCTGTCCAGATTCCATTAACCAGAACTTAGTCACATGAACCTACCTGATTACTGAGAAATGTAATTTTGCTATGAACCTAGGAGGAAAATGAAATCGGCTGGTGAAAATAGCCTTTTCTGTGACAGATATATAAATAAGAACAATGGCAAGGCTCATGGTCTAATGGAGGAAACAGACAAGTCAACAGAGGCAGATGGTAAGAGAGAACATGTCAGGCAGGATGTAACCTGAAGTTACAGAAGTTCTAGAATTGCTGGAAGCCCTTCCGTGGCTCCCCTTCAGAGCCTCCTAAGGATTGCTCTTTTGGGGCCCTCTGTAAATATGGACCTACTAAGTGGCGCAGAGAGTTGCACACCATTGTTGCCCCCTCTGTGACAGACCTCCAGGGCTAGTGCTAACCATCTCTTGTCCCAGCAGCTTCTGCGGTACCAGCTCTGCACGGGCTCCATTTGATTTTACACAGCTGTATCCTGATAAATCTTTGCCTCACAACCCTGCTGCAAGCCTCTTTACACTGAGTTTTGGGACACGGCAAAGCCCCACTTGGCACCTTTACATGAACAACTGGAGTGGATCTTTATCCAGTGGGAGATGAGCTGGTGGATAAATTTCCTTCCTTTCCCTCTCCCATAAGCTATGCTACGACTCATATTATGTGGCTTCTGAGAGGATAATCCCTTGAGCAGGAGCCATCAGTAATGTGTAGAGGCCAGATGAATAACCATCCTGGTATCAGCTCTTCTCCCTTCCCTACCTGCCTCCTTTTGCTTCCCACTTCTGCCCTATAGAATCAAGCTCTCTATCCTAGAAAACTCAGACTAAGACATGCCCATGAATGGGTGCAGCTAGAAGCCACCCAGAGGTCTCAGTCTCCCCTCCCATTCCTATCTGCAGGTCCCTGGATGCTGCAGAAGTGTTTTTTTGTTTGTTTGTTTTTTAAGATTTATTTATTTGAGGTGCCTGGGTGGTTCAGTCGGTTGGGTGTCCGACTTCAGCTCAGTTCATGATCTCACAGTTCATGAGTTCAGGCCCTGCGTCGGGCTCTGTACTGACAGCTCAGACCCTGGATCCTGCTTTGGATTCTGTGTCTCCCTCTCTCCCCGCTCCCCCCCACACTCTGTCTCTCTCTCTCTCTCTCTCTCAAAAATAAACATTAAAAAAAATAAAAAAAGATTTGTTTATTTAAGTAATCTCTATACCCAACGTGAGGTTCTAACTCACACCCCCAAGATCAAGAGTTGCATGTTCTACCAACTGAACCAGCCAGGTGCCCTGCTGCAGAAGGGTTTTAAGGATCAGATTCCACTAACCCTGTTCAGTTCTGCAGACCTGACTCTATGAAGGTCAAGCCTACTGCCTCTCCTGAGTGGAGCCTCCAGAACCTTCCTTTGCTTGTACCTGTACTATTCATTTGTGGATCAGTTGTGTGTGCCTATTGATATCTTGTTTGGTAACATAACATTTGTATCTCTATGTTTGACTTCTTTTGTATTACAGACTTTTCTCAAGTTTAAGAACAGGAATTACTGTCTGACCGGTTTGCCTCTCGCCTCCCTCCTGCTCCAACACCTCTCATTGCTGTATTGTATGTGCCTTGCATATACATGCTGCTCCCTCTCTGCCTGGAGTTCCATCCCTCCTCTACCTTGTTTATGTTATTTCATCTTTTGTGAGCGAAGGGCATGATTTTGCAAAGGGAGGGCCACTTGATTCCCATGTAGGATTCACGGTCTGTCTCTGATATAACTCTCTTCCCAGCCCCTTTCTAGAAACTAAAGTGCACAGTCCTGAGCCCCTTGAGCATTCTTGAGAGTTTTAGACCCTTTGATCCTGTGTTGGACTAAAGAGGTTGTGCCTACCAATTACCTGGTCCTGCCTCAGCTTCTGCAGCAGCTTGTTCAGGAGAGCAAGCCCACTGTCCCTGTGAGGCAGGGGGAGTGAGCAGCTGTCTACTTGCTTACCAAGAGCTTGACAGGGTTGGAGACCCTCAGGATCAATGCGTAAATCTCCATCTTGATCCCAGCTAGATTATGAGCTCCCTGAGGACAGGGATGTTGTCTGCCTTTGTGTCTAGGACAACACCTGGAACACAGTTAGTTGGTGCTTAAGAAATATTTTTTTAAGAAAGGAATAAAGAGGAGGAAGGAAGAATCATGAGGCATCTTGGCCAGTCTTGAGTCAAATGAGAGAAATGTGCACAAGTGAGGTAGACAGGGGTCAGGGGGCTGCTATCTCTGTATTTTCAAACTGGAAAAACCTCTGGCGTCTGCCAAGAAGTCAAGAAGTGGTCCTCAGAAAGGAGTTAGGGTCATAGGATGAAAACCAGAGGAACACTGAGGCTTCAAAGAAACTAAAAATATCCTCTCTCTGGGGGTGCGGTAAGGCTTGGCTGCATCATTACTGCTACTCCTGACAAAGTCAAGCCATGTTCATCTTAAATGTACCCAACAAACTGTTCTTGGAATCACCAGGACTCAGACCATTCCTACTTTGAGATAAAATGAGCCTCTACAGTCAGAATCCAACCTTTTATTTTTTTTAGTGGGTGCTAAGGAAACACCCATCAAGGGGCAGGCAGGGAGTGAGAGGGACAGGTGACTATCACTGGGTGGGAAGGAGGCCAGTAATGGAATTTAGCCAGGCAGGTGGATAACTCTCCCTCCCTCGCTCCATATATTTTCTTCACAGCATTTTCCACTACATGCCCCTGGTATTTATTTATTGTCTTCCTTTCCCCTTAGCATGCCTATTCCACAAGAGCCAGGCCTTTGTCCTATTGACCGCTGTATCCCCTGTCTTAGATCAATGCCTGGCATTTGGTGGATGTGCAAAAATTAGCTGCTAACGAATTAAAGAATATTAAACAATTAGTTGAATCTCTGCAATATGCTGGGCCCTGTCCTTGAGGATGCTACAAGGATAATGGGGGAAATAGGCCTGAACATAAATATACCATAGCTCGACACCTGATTTTTCGGAGGTATATCCAAGGCGCCGCAGGATCCCTGGGGGTGAAAACTCCCGGGGAGTAGGGGGGCCTTGGGAAGAAGCCCGTCGTGTGCCAAG